GGGACTGAGGGACACAGCAGACACAATGGATGTGCTTTAGCTCCCTTCTGTCTGAGGCATTTATATTCCATTTATCTCACATATTCTGAGATAGATTGCCACACTACTTCTACACGGTCTCTCTCTGTATATGTGTACACATGATGTGTAAGAGTGACACGTGTGCCCCATGAAGTCTTGTGTTGCTGTATAGTTTTAATGCATGTACCTATACATGTGCTGTTCAATATGGAGCTTCAAAAGAGCTAGAAGTACCACATTCATACCCTAGATGTCAGTAAAAGAAAAAAACATTAGAACCCATTAAAATCATTTTATAAAGGCCTCTGAATCAAGCAATGGGTTAGCCAATTATTCATAAGGTAATTCCCTATATGGACTGGCAGTTTGAGTCCCAAGTTTCAGCTCAATCAAATTTACACAGCCCAAGTTATAACCTCTTCAAGATGGGGATTGTAACAGGAACACTGACAGACCTTAACTACTGTGCCTCTTTAGTAATGAAAAGCTCTGCTACTTCCCTCGTAGCGTGGCTGCTGATATTGCTATAATTAAGACCGTATGGATTCACACTGTACATCGACTCTAAAACCACGATGCTTAAATTGCCTTGGCTCGAAGCTTAGGATACAAGTTGTCAGTGGCATGTTACATGCTTACTTACAAAAATAGGAGAAAATAAATAAAATACAAAATAACTAATAGTAAAGTAACTGGAGTAGTGAAAACTAAAACCAGACTTTGGCCAAAATGAAACCTTAGATTAAAAGTGAGCTGTTACTGGCATCCTTTGTAACTAGTGCCTCCATGCCTGCTTACCCACCTGCACACTCTTAGAGGAGCGGTTTGCAATCTGAGTCTACATCCCAAGTGCTTCGTGCCATTCATTTTACAGTCATCCCTAGACAGCCCAGTCAAGGTTCAGGGCTCCACTGTGCAAGCAGGGGCAGTCTGAAAACCCAGACCTTGCTGTAACCTATGGAAAAAACTTTCCTCAACTTCACACCTTGTTCTGGATCCTGCCTAGAGCAGCCCATAACAAAATCTTCTGGTTACCTGATGCTCATATGTGTGTGATCCTGAACAGACTTACTGCTGTGTGTGCTGTGCTTGCTAGTACATGCTTGCAGGATCAGAGCTTATTTTGAGCCTTTAGTAAAAAACAAAAGAAAACAAAACAAAACAACAACAAAAAGGAGAAAACAGAAAGCAGTGTGCCCACATTCCTTGCCCTGCAGTACCAATGTACATGCTATTTCTAGGGCACACGAGTCCTCTGCTCATTCATGGGGAGCCAGCCTGGTGTGATAAGAGTTCCACCCACGGTGCCTCTGCCTGATTGAGCCTATCACTTGGTGAGGAGGGTGCCTGTGATACTGGCCGTTATGTAACACGTGGCTTGGGAGGACTGGCATTGTTTTGGAATTTGTGTTTGGTTCTAACGTTCCATTCTGAGCTGGCATGTGAGAACGCTGCCATGAATGAATGACAGTTGGAGCACTGAAGTGGGAACGTTTGCCCACCAAAGTTTCTGAACTCACCTGCTACCAAGTCTGCAGCTAAATCAGCAGACAGGCAGGGATGGCAGCATGCAGCACACAGTGCATCATGCTCCTCTGTACCTCCGGGCCTCAGTGCCACACAGGGACCATGTGCCTGTCTGTAAGAGGGAGGGAGACCACACTTCCCCATCTGAGGCAGTCCTTTTATACAGCAGCCTCCAGGCTCCGCTTGAAGGAAGGACCATGCTGCTGTTCCCAGGGCTGAGGCACCAGAGGCACACAGACATTCTTGGCAGGCGTCTTGGGGCTCTGGCCTGCAAGGGGCAGGATGTGAACCAGCTGAGGGGCTGCAGCATGTGGACAGCCTCTTCCTGAGGGTGGCACACTCCCAGGTGAATGTGACAACCCTTTGGCCCAGGCTCCAGCACCAACCTCTGGGCTGGCTGGCAAACGGCTCGGACAATCAGGCACATTTTCTCAAGTCTGTTCTGGAGCCAGGAGTCCATACCAAGGAATAGATGATCTGGCTGGGGTGAGGCACAGCGGCAGGATGGCATGGTAGGCATGGTAGGGGAGGGCCGTGGCTGAGAGGGAGGTGACGCACGAGTGCGCGCCAGTCCTCACAGCCCTTTTGCTAGGCTGTCTTTAGCGCTTGCCCAGTTTTGTTCCCTCTCGTCCTTCTGCCTGCCGCATTTCCACAACTAGCAGCCTTTGAAAAATTTTAACTGTGCTTAAGTGCTGCGTTCATGAGCATGACTGAGCAGTGCCGTCACTTTGTGCAGTAGGTACGGTACGGACTGACCCCGTGCCACGTGCCCGGACGGCGTACAGGGGATGCTGTAGGAAGGGCAGCCCCTGCGGCCCCCCCGGCTCCTCCTTTCCCGGGGGCCGCTGCCCGCTGGACCCCTGCCACCGTTGCCTCTTCGGCCGCGCCGGGGGCCCCGCAACCCCTCCCCGGGGCGAGGCGTGCGCGGCTGTGCCCAGCCCGGCGGGGCCCGGAGCGGGGCGGGAGGAGGAGGGGTGGGTCGGCCCCGTGAGCCGCCCGACAGCCGCGCAGCAAGAAGCGCAGGGGCCGGACCGCAGCTAAGCCCCTCGCAGGAGCTGTTTGTTGACCGCGTTCACGTTCAGAGCCCTGAAGCTAAAAGCACTTTACACCATAAAATAAAAGAGCTGTCTTTTTTTCTAAAAGGTTACGTCTGGAGGCCACGCTGCTCGTACTTCATACAGAAAACTACTGAAGGGGCTATGAAATCCTCCATGATTTACACTCCCTCTCAGTGCATTAGGATATAGATCTACTCGGCGCTAAAAATACTGTAGAGTTTGTAACCGACGTGAATATATGTGCGTTATTTCAGAAAGTCTGTTAGAAAACTTGTCAACACGTTATAAAGCATAAACCAGGGCTCGGCCATTAAAGGCGGAGATCAGAGACAGAACCATACCTCAGGAAGCGCCGAGAAAAGTCCCCCATTCAAAACACTGCTGGCCGCGAGCTGACACACGGCGTACACCGAAGGGCTCGGGGAGAGCCGCGCTGCATCGTTATGGGCACGGATCGGGCTGCGCGCCCCGGGCTACGGCGAATAATGGTCGCGGCGCCAGGATTTACCGCCTGGCAAAAGCCGCGTCAGGGCTTGTAAATACAGTTATTCGTGTCCACGGCTGCTCGTTAAACAGCCTCTTTCCTTCCACCAAAACGCAACAAAATAAAAACCCACTTGCTTTAATAAAACCCGTGGATACGGCACTCTAAGAACGCCTCCCGACGCCTCGTTTCCCGGTCTGTTGTCGCCCTCTCGTCACATGACAGCGCGGCGCGGGGGGCGGCGGGCAGAGCGCGTTATTGTGATCAGTGCCGACAGCAGCGCCCGGCCGGCCGGGGGGAGCGCTGAGCTAAGGTACGGCTCCGCTTCTCCCCAGCAGTTGCTCCGTGCCGGCACAGAGGGCACGCTGCCGGCGGGACTCGCTCGCAGCCGTTCTCGAGAGCATCCGTACAATCAGCTGTCGAGCGCGTCTCACGGTGCGGCCGGGGCAGTCACCGCTGGAATCTCAGCCGCGGTGCAGCGAGACGGCAGGCTGAGGTGTAACTAAGTGATTAATTCGCTACGAGTTTTTAAAGAGAACCGATGGGACGCTGCCTATTATTTATCAGAACCGGCCCCGGCCAGGCATCCCGCTGCACGTGGGCTTCGGAGAGCGCACGGCTGCGTAATGACTTGTAATTATTCAGAGCACTGTTAAATGCGAACTGCAGAACGTTTCAGAGGTAATAAAGTCATTACTTCTGCACTGCAGTTACCTGGGAAAGCTTTACACGCTCCATTATATACAAATCAAATCGTATGAACATACCTGTGCCGCACACACCCGCCTGTTTATGCGCGCTCCGCACGGAGCACATGGCCGCACGGACGCGGCCGCCCGCCCTGTGCGCAGCGTGAGCGCAGCACCTGGAGCTCCCCGGCCCCGCGTCTCCTCCCCGCCTCGCGTCGATCGAACCCCTCGCCGCTCGCCGCTCCCGGCTTGGCTCGACTCGGCGGCGGGCTGCCCGCGGTTCGGGGTCCCGCTCCGATACGGGCTCGCTTCGCTCGGTCAACAGGTCCCCGCGCCGCTCCCGCGCTCCGTCCGAGCCGCCACCTCCGTTCTCCGCCTCCTCCTCCGTGCGGCACGCGGGTACTCTCGGCCCGGCGGTGCGGGCACGCCCGGCTCCCGAGCCCGTTCCCGCTGCAACGTGAGCCCTCCCCGTGCCGGCGGCGGCCGCGGGCGCGCGGCGGGGAAGTTGTGGCCGGCGCTGCGCATCCCCCAGCTGCAGCCGCTGCCCCGCGCCGCCGCTCGCTGCCGCGGGCTGGGCTCGGAGGGGTAGGCGACGGGGTCTCCGCTCCCTCTTCTCCCGCGCCTTCTCCTCCCGCTCCTCCGCTCGCGGAACTCCTCCCGCCACCCCCCCCCGCCACCTCCTCCCCCGCTCCGGGGCAGGCGGCCGGCTGCCGGCACGCCGCTCCCCGCCGAAGTTTGCCTCAGGCCGGGCCGGGCCCCCGTCGCCCCTCGGCTCTCCGCGGGGCCGCCGCCGCAGTCCCTCGGGGCCAGGCCGCGGCTCCCGGGAGGAGGGGATTCCGCGGCGCGGAGGTTGGGGGGAGGGGGACGAGTGGAGACGCCGGCTCCGGATGGGTCCCCCTTCCTTTTGGGTGGTCCCCGCTCTTGGCTGGCTTCCTTCGGTCTACCCCCCGCCCCTCCCGAGGGCAGCCTGCCCAGCGCCCCCCCCCCGCGCCTCTGGCTTCAGCGATGTATTTACTTTTCCAGCGGGGGTGTGAGAGTGTGCGCGCTGCCGCTACCTTCTTTCTTTCTCTCTCTTTCCTTCCCCTTTCCCCTTCCTCCCGTCCTTCTCCCGGGCTCGGGTACCGCTCCCCCCGCCCCCTCCTCCCTCGCCCCGCGGCCGCTCTCGCCCGGCCGGCCCCCTCCGCCCTGGCCCCGGGGCCCTCCGGCGGCGTGCGCCCGGCGCGCCCCCTCCCCGTTCCCCCCCGCGGTCCTCGGCCATTGGCTTGTCCTGCTCTCTTTTTCATGTCCAGCCCCCGATGAGTGTCCATTGGTGTTGCCTTCGCCTTCCCTCCTCCCCTCTCCCCGGCTCGCCCTGCCCATGTTTTGTATGTCTCTGTCCATCCAGGCTCCTGACGTTCAAGTTCGCGGGGACGTCACGTCCGCACTTGAACTTGCGGCTCAGGGGGGCTTTTGCCATTTTTTTCATCTCGCTCTCTCTCTTCTTCCCTCTTTCCCTCTCTCTCTCTCTCTCTCTCCCTCTCTTTTTTTTCCTCGCACAAAAAAAAAAAGCCATGACTGCTATCCCACAATTCATCTTCCCTGCGCCATCTTTGTATTATTTCTAATTTATTTTGGATGTCAAAAGACATTGATGAAGATATTTTCTCGGGAGCCTCCTTCCTCCGCAGCCCGGCGCTCCCGATGTGAGCCGCGCGCTCCGCCGCCGCCAGCCCACCATGTCGCGCCGCAAGCAGGGCAAGCCCCAGCACTTAAGCAAGCGGGAATTTTCGCGTAAGTAAGCCGTGGAGCGACTCCTTCAATTCCCCTTTCGCGGATTTAATTTTCTATTCGAGCGAGAGCGGGAAGAAAAGAAATAAAAGTGAGAGGGAGCGAGCGAGCGGAGCAGATCGAACTCCCGCCGCCCGCAATCCCGCGCCGCTCCGGTCATCCCGCCTCGTCCCGCCGCTCCGCGCCCCGGCCCCGCTCCGCAGAGCGCCCCGCGCGGGCGGGCAGCACAGCCGGGGGCGGGCGGGCGAAACGCGGGGCAGCGCGGCCGGGGCGGCGGTGGGCGCCGGGCGGCCGGGAGCGAGAGAGGCGCGGAGAAAGTCCGGCGAGCGCAGCCCGCCGCTCCCCGCCGCTCGCGCCTTCGCACCCTCCGCGGGGCCGGGGGCGAGGGCGTACGGGTGCTCGGGCCCGGCTGCCTTTTGTTTCCGTCGCGGGGTGCGGGCCGGACCCGCTCCGGCCGCCCCGGGGGCCCCGCCGCCCCACCTCCCCCCGCGCCCCGCGCCCTCTGCGTCCCCGGCCCCGGCTAGGCTCGGCTCGGCTTGGGCTGGGGCGGGGGGCGGCCCCGGGCGGGCGGCCGTGGCGCGCCGAGAGGGATTCCCTCCTCGCCCTCGCCTCGCGCTGCCTCGCTCACTTACTATTTTTTGGAAGATTTTCAAAAAAAGTGGAAGTGGATTTTGATTGGGAAAAATCTCGTGTCTGAATGTTTACAAGCGCCGCGTGTGCGGGAAGCCTCCTGCCAACAAACACAGACAAGAGCGAGCCCGGGCTGAGCGCACACCACACACGCACTCGCGCTCGCACACTCGCACAGCCGCGAGCCCCGCGCCCGCGTTTAAGCCCCAAACCCAACGTGCTCTCCCTGGGAGAGAGAAGACACAGCCCGGTCCCGGAGCGCCGCTCGCCGCAGAACCGCCGCTCCCCGCTAGCGGCACCGCGCTCCGGGCGGGACACGGAGAGCGGACCGCTGAACGCACAACAAAGGGCACCTCGGGTTGCAGAGAGATGCGGGGCGAGGGGGAGGAAGGGACAGAAAATCCCCCGTTTCTCGGGTGAGCGGGCAGAAAGGGAAACGATATACGCTACTCGTGGCTGTTTATTTTTTTCCCTTTTATTTCTTCCCATCTTTTTTCCCCATTATTCCCAGAGACTGTTGCTCCTTCCCAGGGCCGGCACAGGACCCGGCGCGACGCGTTCAGTCCCCGCTCACGCTTTGCAGAACTTTCCGGGCCGTCTTCCTTCCCTCGCTCCCTCCCACCGCTCTCCGCACGTTCCCGCATGCACTCCCTCGGCACTACGCCGGCGCTCGGCGCTCGCTGCTGGGGACGCCTCTCCCGAGGCGGGGGCCGCGACGCCGGCTGGCCCACGCCGCCGTCCCGGAGGGGCCGCCCCGTTCTGCGCGGGCCGGGCGGCGGAGGGACGCGTAGCCGGGCGCGTAGCCGCGCGGCCGCGGAGCTCCGCACGTGTGCGGCCCCGGGCCGGGCCGGGGGCGGGAGCGGGACCGGAGGAGCGGGACCGAGGAGCCGGGCAGGCGGGATGCGCCGGGCGGGATGTGCCGGGCGGTCGCTAGGAGGCACACCGACATCAAAAACCCCGCCGGCAGCGGACTTGAACCTGGCCGGTCCTCTGCGCCCGCGGCGCGGCCCAGGCGGAGGGGGGGGGGAGGGCGCGCCGCCGGCCCCTTCCCTTCCTCTCCCTTCCTTTCCCTGCCGGCCCCTCTCCCCTCGCCTTTGTTCTTACTTTCGGCCGCTGCCAGTAGCGCGCCCGCCGCAGCCGCCCCCGGCCCGGACTCACCGTAGCCCCCGCGCCCCCCGGCCAGGCGGACTCTTTTATTTTTATTTTTATTTTTATTGGTGGGGGTGGGTGGCAACTTTTGCTCGGAGTTTGGCCCCCCCTCGTCTCCCCTCCCCCCGGGCCGCCCAGTGCCGCCGCGCCTCGCCCCCGCTTTGGGCCACGAGCTCCGGCCGCAGTTGGAGCAAAGTTGGCACGAGGCAACCACCTTTCCCCCCCCTAGCCCTTAAGCTCTCCTTTCTCCGCTCCTGAGCCGAACCGGACCGGCCTCGGTCCCTCTGCGCGCCGCTCCCCTTCTCGCCTTTCTCGGGCAGGCGAAAATCCGCGCGGGTCCCCGCAGCCGGCGGGGGGAGATTGTGGTGCCTGGGGACGGGGAAGAAGGAGGGAGCAGGAGGGCGAGGAGGAGCGGAGAGACATGTTCATGGCAGAGCAATTTGCATTAAAAACAGGGACGAGTGATTAGGTGCCTAGGCAGGGAATTCGGCTTGCACAAAAATTAAAGGACGCATCCGGCAGCTCAGGGGTACACCAGGTGAATTGTGTATTCGGGCTTTCTTTGGAGATCCGTTTTGTTGTTTGTTGTTGTTGTTGTTTTTTCCTTTTTTTTGAGACAGTAGTAAGAATACAGCCGTGTTCTGCTGGCTGTGCTTCCATTGGAGCTGAGTGTTGTGCGAGGAGTGCGGTGCCAGCCGTATTTCATACATTGCTATATAATTCTCGTTAATTAGCAATAATTTACATTAAGAGCATAGAAAATGTTGAGGTTACAGGTTTTATATCTGTACATTTGATCATCTTGTTATTTTCAAGAACTTTGCCTCCTATAAAATTAATTAGGTGAAATGTGGAGGTGTAATCAGCAACCTCTGAATTACCACTTCATTTCCTGGGTTTGATTGTAAATCAGCCCCGGCAGAGCAGACTTTAGCAAAGTCTATTGTTGTTTAGCACTACTTTTAACTGTCTGGTGTCTCAGCCCAATGTTCTCTTCCCCTGCTAAATAACACTGACGGCGTCAGAAATAAATCAGGCCGAGGGAAAACCTTGTAATTGAGGAATGACTGTGCAGAGCTCCTTGCTGAGCGAGCTGCAGAGGGAACGCTGTTTATTTTGTGTGTTTCGCTGTGCAGTTGGTGAGGTAGAAGTTGGATTTACAGCTCGGCCCCAATACCTTTGTCTGCTGTGTGCAGCGAGCTCCAGGAGGAATTAGTCCTGTGCTGCTTTGCTCCCTCTGTCCGAAGACAAGGGATGGCTGGGGAGAAAAATGGCATGCAGCAATCCCGCAGCCCATCCCGCTGCCCTCGGGTGCCAGGAATGCAGCCGCTTGCTCTGCGCGTGGGGAAGGAAAGCAGGTGATTGAGACATTGCTTTTGTCAGTCTGAACGTAACCTTCATCCTCCCGTGGTTGACCTTCTGTTAAATGAGAAGTGGTACCAGAGGCAAGAGCTGCTGGGCTGCATCCCCGTGCCCTACTTGGAGCCGAGGTATGGGTGGCAGCCTGCTCTCTCGATATGATTTCATGCAGCACAACTGGGAGCTACTCCAGATCTTCCTCCCCAGTATTCAGCCTAGGCAGGGCTGAAATAAATTTGACCTGAGTTCACACGATTTTTGCACTTTATCAAAATCAGTTCCAATATCATGCAGCCAAATTAAAATCTATTTTTTGATTCTCTGTGGCTTTAAGTTCATTAAACGTGAAATTGGCAGCTAGCTAAAGAAGGTCAGACCCGTTAACTGTTTAGGAGTTGCATTCCGTCTTGCCCATGTTACCTGGCAGTGAGTGGCGGTGCTCTGCGCCTGCAGCACCCTCTCCTTTCTGCCGTTGCCATTAGCACGTGCGGTGCTGCACAGGCTGGGGAATAGCACCGTGATGGGGGCTGTACACGCAGTGCTGAGGTATTGTCGTGCAAACTCAGGGAAAAAAAAAACAGGCAAAGAGAAAAGAAAGACGACTCTACCTTGTTAGAGCATCCTCTGATGATTATGTGAACAGAAATAGCCTCGTAATGAAGCTTTTTGGAGCTCGTTCAGAAAATTTGTCAACTTTGACAACATTAGCTGAGGTATTTCGATCTCAGAGAAAGCACTTCTCTCTGCTGTTAAGAACTGTGGCATTTGCTTGGCCATGCTGGTTGGTGTATGGTGAAAGGCCACCGGTACTAACACGTTGCAGAGAATTTAGGCATGCCTTTATTTCAGGATGAAAAAGGAAAAATGACTAATTGCCTTATGTCCTTAAGTGCTGCACTATATCCTGTTCAGTTGATATCTCTGGGTGGAATTGTTGGTGAATTTGGAATTTATTTGAACCCCGAGGAGCAGCCGGATAGCAAGAGGTTCCTCCTCCCACCCCGCAGGAATTTTGACTGCACTTGATTTTTATCAGTTGCTTCTCTGCTATTTCTTTCTTTCTTTTCTCCTCCCTCCCTCTCCGCGAGCAGCTGCTGCTTTTTTTCAGTGTGCAAATTGTGAGCCACCAACGTGGGCAGTGGCACACGGGCACGCGCACACCTGCGTGGGGAGAGCCCCATCTCCCTGCCTTCTCTCTGCTCCTGCTGGCAGTGCTTGTGCTGCCTGCATGTTGCACACACAGGGTGCGCGTTGGAACCTTTCCTCTGCATGTGCACACGTGTCGTTCATGAGCAAAAATTTTACAAAGTAGGTCTGGCTCGGGGAAATACACCCCTGTGTGTGTGAGCGTGTGCAGTGCTTTCAGCCTTGAATTCATGTACATAAATAATACATCTGGCGATAAAGCACAGTATTCACTTGTTTTCCTAGCACCACCGCAGCTTTGCAGCACATTCTCAAAGACTGTTCATTTGATTTTACCAGTAAATCGTTAAATCGAGTCAGAAATTTGTCCTCATTCACGAGAGCAGATACTGTGGCAGGGCTCTGTAGGCTGTGGCTGCTCCTGCACGGTGTGTTCCCGGTGGCCAATAAATTTGATTCCTGTTGCAGTGGCAATGGTTGCGGGGCACCTCTTTGCTGGGGGGGCCACACAGCAATGCTCAGGGCTGGGAGCTTCCCACGTGTCCCCGTGCCCGGCGCTCATTACCAGAGTTCTAATGTGTCTCCTTTTGTTTCTCCAAACGCAGCTGAACCTCTTGAAGCCATTCTCACCGATGATGAACCTGACCATAGCACGTTGGGAGCTCCAGAAGGGGACCATGACCTCCTCACCTGTGGCCAGTGTCAGATGAACTTCCCGTTGGGGGACATTCTTATTTTTATTGAGCACAAACGGAAACAATGCAATGGCAGTCTCTGCTTAGAGAAGGCTGTGGATAAGCCACCCTCACCCTCACCAAGCGAGCTGAAAAAAGCATCCAATCCCGTGGAGGTTGGCATCCAAGTTACGCCAGAGGATGATGATTGTTTGTCAACGTCATCGAGAGGAATTTGCCCAAAACAGGAACACATAGCAGGTAAATTAAAATGAGGAGAAGTGTTTGCAAGCTTATTTCTGTTCCAGTTGCGTGTCTGTCTGTGGTCACACGCAGTGGAGTCTTGTGCCTGGCTGTGCTCCTGGTGGCTGTGCAGAGGCAGAGCAGCAGGCATGTGCAGCGCAGCCCGGCGTGTCTAGCAGCACTGTGTGCAGCTGCGCTCACATCGAGCCGTGCTGCAGCCGCCGTCGCGCTGCAGGAGGAGGTCCGGCGCTGTGCGTGTGCGGGGAAGGAGCTGTTGAGCTGTGGGTAGAGCTGGCAGTGAAGGAGTTAAGTGAGCATCAGCCAGCCTGGGTTCCATATTGGCTGTCAGCGTATGGACTGTAATTAAACACAGCCCCATGGCAAAGTGACACCACCGACCTTGACTTTAAGATGCCATTTTCGACTGGCCAGGCCAGAGTAGAGAGGGCAGTTGCTGAAGCGCACAGACATGCTTATTCGAAAAGTTTAAGGGCATGTTGGAAATTTCAAAAGGTTGGTTTGACAGGAAAGGCCGCTCTCTGCAGCCTGCCTCCTCAGCCAAATGATAAATGCCTCTCCGCGCTCACTCTTGTCTCTGATGGTGGTTTTGACAGATGTATCTTGATTTTGTTTGTGATTTACACAACCACATGTCATCCGTACAAATGTCCGAGGCCGAGTTCTGCTTTGTGCAACAATCGGCACGAAGTGTGCTTTAAAAAAAGGGTAAATAACTCCTTTTCTTAGCATGGTTTTTTTTTTTTTTTCCTTCTTTTTTTTTTTTTTTTCTTTTAAAACGGAGAGCCATTTGCTGTGACAATGTTTTGTAAATGAGGTTAAAAAAATTCTGTATCCTTATTTTGCCAGAGATGGATGTTGGGGGGCTTTTCCCGGAGTGGAACAGGGCAGTGCCCATTTCCACGTGCTGACTGTGACATGCAGCAAAATGAACACAACAGGAGGCTGTGATTAATTGTGTGGAGCCTGGTGGAAGGGATTTGTGGTCTTCCTAGAGCTGGAGCCATACTAAATCACCAAATATGGAGGAACGGCGGTGTGATGTAACTCTGTATTTACATATTGAGCCGCTCTGCTTCAAAGACAGAATGCAGTATCTGTCAGGCAGGAATTAGGAGCAGTCCTCCGTGGTTCCAAATAGCTGCTCAGGCTGTGAGCTGGGCTTTAGGCATGCTGGGGAACTCCTCAGCACAGGACCTGGCCCTGGGGATGTGGCCAGAGCCCACCTGGTTTGGGACATGTGTGCTCGCGATGCCCGGCAGCAGTGCCTGGGGTCAGCAGCGAGATGCAAGCTCAGGGCTGGGATAGCCATGGGCTTTGGGCTGTGGAGTCCCTGCAGTGAGCCTTGGGTGCTTTCTAGCTTTGTATCTGCTTTTCTCTGTCTATCAGGAGATATTGAGTTTATGGGTTAAAAAAAAAAAAAGTAAAAAAAAAAAAAGGTAGGAGGCTGCTTTTGGAAAAATATTCAGGAATTGAGTGAGCTGATGTTCTCTGGTGAGGGACCAGAAGATGTGCATTTAGTAACGATGTAAAAGTGTTCCCAGTCAGTTGTTCCTCAGACAGAGGTGCTGGAGGTGGGCTGTGGTGCAGGGTGTGCTCTGTCTGCGGGTCTGCAGCCAGCAGCTGCTGTATTCAGCAAGTCGCCTTGAGTAGGAATGGTTAAGGAGCAGATCATCTGCAGGAGCAAGCTCTGGGGCACTGAACTCAGAACGATGGCTGCTCCAGTGATGGCTGCTCCAACTGGCATGGATGCATTGCAGGCCTCTTGCTTCTGAGGATGGAGTGGTAACAGCACTCCAAGCAGCCTGCACACCCTGTGCACGCCATGGACCCCGTGCATCCATGCAGCCTTAGCACCCTGAGCACCTCGAATACTTTGTGCAGCAGTGGGCAATGCACACGTGTGCGTACCTGGCTGCAGGCGGGTGAGCGATGCTTTGATGTGATGTAAAATTGGGAGCAATGCTGATCTGGCGCTGTAGCTGAAATGCCATAAATTTAAGTGGGAATTAATAGGATCTGTTGTGTGAGTCCAACGAGGCAGCTTTCATCAATATGTATGTCAAACACTCAGCACCAGATAGCAGCAGGCTGTGATTTGCAGTGAGTGCTGCGGCCGGGGTTTAGCGATCTGGTCTCGTATTTTACAATAGGGGGAAATATTAACTGAAGTATCTAGAGATCAGTGAATGTAAAATTGCTGTTCACTTATTGAAAAGGCTGAAGAAATATTTATCGTCCACCCGTGTCAGGTTGTAGCGTTCCGCTGGTTGGATGTATAAATCTGGGGGAATTAGGGGAGGCTGTTTGGGGCGAGGAGGGACCCAAAGTGCTGCCAGTGCTGTCAGAGCCCCTCTGGTCGTGGCTGGTGCTGGTGAGTGCCAAGTGGCAGCATGGGGAAGTGGGAGGTCACTGGGCAGTGCTGGCATCCTTTATTCTTGAGCGCCTTGTTGGGTTCAAATATAATAATGGGGAAAAATAACATAAGAAATGCCTCTCATAATCAAAGGGAAAGCGGACATAATTTGGTACTGAATTCTGAATCAAGTGCATCTGATTATTGCTGTTCTCAGGAGATCATGTCTGTGTCAAGTCATTACGCCACAGAAATTTTTTTGGATTGTTATTCGTAGCTGCCATTAGAATTCTGTATGTTGTAAATTGCAATTCCTTATTATTTTATTTTGTTCTGAGTAAAAAATCATTGAGATCTGAGCAGAACATTTAGCGTTGCATCTGGGCAATAAGATAAAAACTTGAATTACATTCATGGGGGAAAAAATGAAAGTGGAAGCATTTCAGAGTGAAATTCACTCTGCTTTCTCTGAATGAAAAGCAGTCAGATCAGCCTGTGCAGCTCCCCAAAGGAAAAACCACACGGGTGCTACCAGGGGCTTGTTGCTGGAACCAGCCCTGTGTGCGAGCCCTGTTGGTAATAAATAAGGCAGAGAAAGGTTGTGAACTGGCAGCTTGGCTGTTTTGTTAAAGTACAATGTCAGAGAAACTCTTTCTAAGACAAATTGTAAATAGAAGTGTCACAATGATTGCATGATTGAGCTGCAGAAGTGTCTTTCAATTGTTGGCATTGTCAGAAGACTTTTGAAAGCTTAATTAAATGTAGTGGCTTGTATGGCTGTGAAATTTACTTCTGGGGAAAAATGTAAAAAATATGGGGATCAAGTTGTTGGAACGCTGCTCGTGCGGGGCTGGAGAAGTGCCTGTGGTTTGTTGGCCTTCCCCAGTGCCTCATGGAAATAACGCTTTTTGAAGACACAAACATGTGATGCCAACATTGTCCTTTGTACAATGTAAAGCTTGTGTTTGTTTTCCTATCCTCGCTGTTTTAGACGGCTAATGTAAAGATGACTCTTTATTGGAAAAACAAATGCAAGTTCACTCGAACGAGGCAGGGTAAAAAGTTTTCCTGTGCTTCAGCATGATTGTTCCAGGGAAGTGGCAGAAGTGTTAATACCTTCTATCTCTTTTTTATTTTGTTCCCCATCAGTCAGATCTTGTTTTGAGGATCAGAAATACGTTTTGCATTCTTCCTCTTGTTACATGTGATATATAACTGTGAAGCTCCCTGTAGGCTGAAATGTGTCTGTGGCCAGAGTGCTTGTGGCCACAGAGGCAGCCTGCGGGTGGTACGGGATGCACTGACATCATGTGCTGGGAGCCGGGAGCTGGAGCAAGTTGGGTCCCATGGAGCTGGTCTGAGCAGTGCTGCTGGAAAATGAGGCAGGGAGCTGAGGAGGGCTCAATTAAGCACCTTCTAATTAGCACAGTAAGAGAAAGTCTTTCTGAGACATCTCCATATTTTTGTAATGCCTCACTTAAAGTAAGGGCATGCATGCAGCTTGGTATGTGCAACCCTAGGCACACAAGCTTGTTTTTTATTTAATTCAAACAATGAAGACAATTAAAGATGCTTGAGAGGCAGTGTCAGGCAATGGGAGCTCAGACTCCGGTTGTTTGCCTGCATGGATCCTCATTACAGACAATTTTTTTGACAGAATTTTCTCCCAGCTTCAGCCCATTTTTGTATCCAGAGCAGCAGCCCTGCAGTAAATGCCATTTAGCACTGAGCTGAACTGGCAAAGTGCCATTCCAAGAGCAGGACCTGCTGGCTGAGCAGCACCGCTGTATCTCACTCCTTGGAGCTGCCCGGCAGGTCTTGGCTTTGTGCGGCCATTGCCGAGACATTGCAGGCTTTCATCAAGTGTGCTAAGCTCAGTAGGTTTTAGTGCATCAAGACTTACATTTGTACAGGTAGCGTGGCCCCACAGCTAGCTGGTTTGTTATCTTGACCCTAGAAGTGTGCTGGGCCTTGTCTGCATCCCAGTAGCATTAAGTGCAGCAGGTTTGGGCCTATCGTGGTTGATATCAGCACATGTTCTATTGTGACTTACTGCATCCTTTAACAAACAGCAGGCTTATTAATGTACCCACAAATGATCACCGTGGTTAGGCTGGGTTTTCCTATTTCCTAATGAATTTCCACCCAGCGTGGAGTCCCGATCCCAAGTGAAGGTGTGTGGCTTTGGCATCAAAGGGCACTGGCCAGCGCAGACCAAATCGAGTGGTACGGAGCTGAAACCCTAAATTGTCCTCTGATGCTTCCCAACGGTGTCAGTGCGTGGCGCTGGGTCATCAGCTCTGCTTATCAGCTCTGCTGGAGAGACACACTGACCGTGTCTCACAACCCTTGGAATTTGCAGCTGGGGGGCTTGGAGAGGGCACAGCGTGGAACTGGGGGCTGTGTGGGGTGCAGTGCAGCAAGGATGGCCCCATCCCAGCAGGGAGCTGGTGCTTCTCTCTGCTTTGAGGTGGGAGCACAGCCATAGCACCTCGAGGCAGCTCTCAGGTGCGAGCTCAGATGAGTGCGTGGAAATGTCCTGTCAGATGCAGCATAGGAATATTAATGCTTTCTTGCCACCGTGCCATAATAAAGCCACACACAGCAAGCTTAATGTGCAGCCGGCCTGGGGAATTGTACAAAA